TTCGCTAAAATCCATTCTCCATTGGATACTCAACTGGTCAACATACATATCAGAATAATTCTTTTTCCTCCACCCCCACCCCCCACATGGTTTACATAATGCACCTACTTTTCCAGTGCTTTCTAAGTTGATGTTATCTATAGGATGTATTTTTAATATGACCAAATTTTAGTTTCAGAAGGAGGTAGGATGTGAGGTTCACGAAGTGAAATGATGTTAGGACGTGGGTTTAACTAAACTAGCTGTTATGATCTGGTGAGTGCTCTGGATTGAAAAAGGTGGGTCGAGATGTTTGAAGGAATCTTCATGGAGCATACTTGGATAAAGTCGAGAAATCGAACTGTGGTTTGCTATCACTTATTAAAATCAACTAACAAGGAAAATACGGATACGAGTTAGAAAATCACTCAGGTCGTGTTTCAGAAAGCTTCATTGAAATTATCTAGATTTTTGGGAAAACTAGGGAAATATTTAGATTCGCATGACATCAATCAAGCAAAAGATGCTTTTTATAATAAAGAGCATTGTTAGAGAGAGTAAAATTTCTGACTTTTTTAATGTATAGATGTTCTTTATAATATAATGTATAAGAGGTTTTTTATAAATAAAGAATCTCATGCTCTAAACAACGTTTAATCTTTTAAGATGAAACTTCAGGTCTTTATAATGTATGTGCAATAGCTTCCTCTTTTTCTTTTTTTCTTTTATTTTATGGAGAATGTTTTGTTTTGTTCTTTTACTAATATAATATACTATTATTTAATTTGCTTAGTTATAATCAATTTTTTCCATTTAAACTTGAAATTTTACAAATATATAAATAAGGACAATCTAGGAATGTTTTTGACAAAAAAATACTTTTTCAATAACATTAAAAATAAGATTTCTCAATCCATGTAAAAAACAAAACAAGTCTATGTAAACCTTTATTTGATTCGCATAATTTTAAAATTCTTTTTTCTACAGGATCATTTTAATCACACATTTACACAATAAAATATTCTGCACGTAAATTTAAAATGTTTCATTATTTTTTAACTACACATTCTCCTAAATAATATTATTCAAAACTCTTTTAAATGGATATAGTCATCAAACAGAGGCTAAATGGAACGGAGTGAGTATTATTAAGTCAATTTTTTGGGGATGAGGAAAATTTTCAATACAAAATCTAAAGATGACAACTCCAAATCGTACCCCTTTGATGTAGCTAAAAATTAAATTTTTAGTAGAATTTGATAAAAATTGATGAAATGTATAGTAAAAAGTTATGAAAGTTGAGAATCTCGTTAAATGCGTCAAATTTTTAAATTGCACCAAATAGGGACTATATGTGACAGATATTTATTATCAATAAAGAGAAAATGGCATAACATAAAATCTAATTGAAAAGTAAACCAAATATCAACTTCAACAATGTAAGATCACTAGATACTATCAAAACCCAGATTGAAATCATCGAGCACCAGTATCTCCATGAACGAGAAGAAACAAACAATAACACAAAAGTCGCTTTGTGAATGAAGCAAAAAATGTCATGTTATTACTCTATTGAGAATATTTTGTTTTGTTTTGTTCTATCACTAATGTACCATATTTAATTTGCCTGGTTATAATAAATTTTTCCCATTTAATCTTGGAATTTTACAAATACAAATAAGGATAAACTAAGAATGTTTTTGACAAAAAATACTTTTTCAATAGCATTAAATAAGATTTCTCAATTCATGTGAAAAACAAAACATGTCTAATATAAACCCTTGTTTGATTCCCTTTGAACTCCTTTTTTTTTTTTCCCCTACAGGATCATTTTTAACCACACATTTACATAATAAAATATTCTGCACGTAACCCAAAAGTTGGTAAAAAATAAAATTATCGCTATTATTATCACTTTTTTCTACTTCTGCGTCCAAGTGTAGGATAACCCCAACGTTATGGATTTTTCTATCAATTGGGGCTCTCCCTTTACCACCCTCATGGTTATGGTTTATAGGATGCATAACTACTCTCACTAGAGGACGTTTATCTAATCAACACTAAAATTGGACGCTATGCAAAAATTTTCTGGTTAACCCCCATATTCTCCACTTGTCAAACTTTTTCAAAGAAATTTTTGGAATCCAGAAGAGAATTTTAATGTGATTGATTTCTACTCTTTACGGCCACAAACAAACAATCTCTACCCTAAAGTAACCATTGTTACATGCAGCATCAATTACATCTTTTGATAACTACATAGTGCATTCCTACTTTCTCCTTATTGACACAAACCCTCCTAGGCGTTTCTACACAATATAAAAATGAATCCTAAATCTTACAAAATATATTGATAAAAAAGATTTGATCGATTATTAACAATTTACAACATTAGCCAAACATAAAACCACTGCTCATAAATAGATGGAGCGATGCCCCTTCCCAACGATTTGTGAAGGTTAGGAATTTGACAAGCTAGTATCGAAATTATAGATTTGATTTATATAAATTCCATGATCAAAAGACAAATAATTGACTCTGGTATCATGTCATGCAAGTCAAAAGTGTCGAAACAAACAGGTGGGAACTGAATTCGAAATTTTCAAATGGAACCGGAACAATCTAAAAATCAACGATAGACCATAATGTTTTAACTTAAACTCTCAATATTCCCTTGAAGAGCAGCTGCATAGCAATTACTACTCATATAAAGAGACCTGACAATTTGAATGCACAAATATATATAGCAAAGAAACGTGCTGATATTTTTTGAAATAAAGTTCATATTAGAAGATTAAGCTCTCCTTAATTTGATTAAAAATCAAATTTTCAGTATATTTTTTCTTAAAAATTGATAAAATATGTGATGAAAAAGTTTTAATTTTTTTACTTTTAGCTCAATCAAACTAGGGGCTAAATTGCAAACATTATTCCTCATAATACAGTTAAATATTTTGACACAGCCATTTTTGGTATGGCTTAAAATCTTGATAAAAATTTACAAATCAAAGTCAGTTAATTTTATTCATTTGTCAATCATATAATTTGGGTTGTTTGAGGCCCCCCACCCCTACCTTTTTTTTTTCCTTTCTTTCCAAAAATTGCATATCGAAATTGAGTTATGATAGAGATTGTATAGGTAAAAAATAAAAATTTGGATTTATCTGTAATATTATTTTATTAAAAAATATGAAATTTAACAAAATTTATTCAAAATTCGATTTTGGAAAGCATATATTTAATATTAAAACACAACTATATATAATATTACAGCAGACATGTATATTATAATAATACAGCAGACAGTCACAACTCACAATAATTAAACAAAATAAACAAAAACATTGAAAAAAGATTACTAGTAATATTCAGACAATTCCGAACTTGCAGATATATGTATATGTATATGCTCAGACATTTGTGAATCGCAGGTAATCCTTCCCCGAAGGAAGATCAGCAGCGTCGAAACCCTGTGGGAACATCTTTTCAGCCACTTCGTTCGACACACTCGGAGCAATCACCACGGGCTCTCCAGGTTTCCAGTTTGCAGGCGTCGCAATTTTGTGCTTCGACGCCTTCATCAGCGAATCCAGAACCCTCACTACTTCATCCATGTTCCGGCCAGTGCTCGCAGGGTACAAAAAGCTCAGCTTGATCTGAACAACCCAATTCAGTACAAAGACCAAAAAGTTAAAATTTTGTCCGACATAATAATGGATACCTTCTTGTCGGGGCCGACTATGTGAAGAGCACGAGATGGTGACTGCGTGTCTTCGGGGTCCACCATGTTAAGTTGCTTGATGATCTCCCTTTTGGGATCCGCAGCAATTGGGTAAGTCACCTTGTGCCCATTCTACATGCATAATCAAGAAGATTAGCAAATGATGAAGAAAAAACGATGAAGATGAGATAAGGGAGATTTTTGTTCACAGACATTGAAGGCTTCGATGTCCTTGATCCATTCATTGTGAGAATTAACATCATCACAAGACAGGCCTAAAAGTTTAACTCCTCGCTCAGCAAACTTGTCGGCATAAGCAGCCATCATGCCAAGTTCCGTGGTGCAAACAGGCGTGAAATCCCCTACAAACACGTAAATCATTTTCACCGAGTACCAAAAAAATGATCCAAAAAGTAGAAAATGTATAAACAAACCTGGGTGAGAAAAGATAATGGTATAGCTTTTATCAACGTAGTCATGGAGTTTGATCTTTCCCTGAGTGGTTTCAACTTCAAGATTTGGCAGTGTGTCTCCGAGTGTTAGGCCTGGCATTTTATCGAACAGGTTGACGGCAGAAAATCGGGATATTTTGTAGAACGAGAAAAGGGACAATTTGGAGTTGGAATTTAAAAGGGGAGGTGGGGACGTGCATGGAGAGAACGTGGCATGCGTCGTGGCTTTGTGGGCTTGGAATTTGCTTCATGCATGGGTTGACAAACACTGTGATGCTTCCACGTATAGATGGCGGACTTAAAACCGATGTTATCGTTTTGTTTGGTGTCCGCCGGGAATTGATCCCAGTGAAACAAAATAGTGAAACATTAAGGGTGCGTTTGATTACAAGTAGGAAAATTACATGGAAAGAAAATGAATTCCAAGGAATTGAATTACCTAGAAATTGTTTTAATGGAAATTGTAAATTATTGCGTTTGATTGTATAAATTTTTCACGTGGAAAATGTTGAAGTAAAAGTATTTTTTGATGTTCGTTTGACTTTGTTTTACGTGGAAATTGTCAATTTCAGGGATATCCTCTTTTACAATTATTCCTAAAATTTGTTCCCATTGCCAACAATTAAAAAAAAAAATAAAAAAAGCAAAAAAATAAAATAAAAAAAAGGTGGAAAACCAAAAATCACTTATCCCCTAGAAAAAAAAAAGGTGGAAAATCACGCTTTAAGGTGTTGTACCTAGAAATTCGTGGAAAATCAATTCCCTGAAAAATTTTGTCAATCAAACAGGCTAAAAGTGGAAGTTGGAATTCGAATTCCAAGTTCCATAGAAAATTTCGTGCAATCAAACGGGGCCTAATTTCAATTATATAATCACTAGTAATTTATTATTCATATATTTCAAGGAATTGTTACCTAAAATTTAGATGAACCCAAGTAAAAGAATATTTTTCTTGGGACTAGTAAAAACTATAATGCTATTGTAGAGTTGGTTAGCGACGATGTGACAAAACCTTCGTAAATATTCACCAAACTTTTATAAAAGGTTTGTGAACTTTAAATCGAAAAGATGAAATTATGAGTCTCATAAGCTGTTCTATAACACCTGTTATCGTGTCTGAAAAATATAACAGTCTCTCAAAATTTATACACTTCATTAAACTAGCACTAGTGAAGGCACGTGCGAGTAGTGGGTAATTTAGGGTAAGTAATAGTGTTATAATTTGGTTACGTGGTATTTGAATGAAGAATGAAATCTGTTTGGAATGACGATTACACTGGATTATATAAAATATTTGTTCACATGTACTTACATTGAGGGTAGTAATATGAAGCAGTTATAAGCCATGTTAACATGTACATGAAACAAAATGTAGTACGTGAAGTAGATATCTCCAGTTTATGCAGCCCCAAATGCACACTTTTCCTCCTTTTTTTTTTTTTTTTCCTTTTTTTCCCCCTTTCTTGGCTCTGCCAAATGAGGGACAAAAACCTACAGAATGGAGAAAGAATGAAAAACAAAGGTTCAAGTAATGAAATCCAATTTAAATAGAAGCTACAAGAGTTTCAGTTAGGTCCATTACAAGAAAAAAATGCCATC